CAGGGTCCAGGTACTTTCTCCCTGTTCTAGAATGAGCTCATCCGAGGAAAAAAGACAATGTGTGGAAGTATCATACTTGAGATTGGTTTTGGATCCTCAGGATATACCCTCTGTGGCTGTTAATCTAAATCCATCTCCTTCCCTGTAATTGGAGCAGATTTGGGGTTAAACAAACATCACATACCCTTGCTACAGCAATTTCGTTTAATCTCTCATCTTACCATAAATCACAGTGAAGATAACTACTAAGTGGTTTATATACTTTTCTCAATCCTACTTTGGAAGAAATGGCAAGATAAAAATTCAATCAATTTGCTGCCTTATAGGTTAGAACTCAACCCTACATATAGCTGAAAGAAATCTCAGAATATATCAAAATCAATGTCATGACTTTCTTAGACCTATCACATGTTATACATGCTAACTTCAGAGATCAGCCTAGGGTAACAGAGAAATTATGCTAGCTTTGCCCACTCAATGTTTTCTAGTGAGACTGAATTATAATACCCATAATTTCAAAATTGCTGGAGGACTCAGTTGCTTGCTTGCAGAAGGTTCTTGAAATTAGATGGAAGACCCTGTGAAATTGAGTTGAGGACCCTGATTGCTCTGCCCTAAAGCACCAAATGTTTTCCCAAATGAGTCAAACTTTTTGAAAACTAGTTTATTTCAGTTGAAAGTAAAACACATGCTTAAAACTCTTCTATTTACATCAATGGATGAAAAGTATAATTTTGGCTGGATCTTGCTTATTATGTGTATTAGGACACACTGGAAGAAAATAATATGAATAGGATGTACAATTAGTATTTCAGAAATTTAGAAAATAATATTACAAATAACCAAAATCAGTAGCGAAATGTAATGTGGCAAAAAGAAACAGAAATATTTGATACTTATCAGTTGGGCACTCCCATTTCATAACACTAAAACCGTTTCTAACAGTGAAAATTATACATGTAAAAAAGATAAAAGCATCACAATTTAACACATCTAGTCACATTATCCCATTCATCTTTGGTTAATTAAAAAGGTGCTGAAACAACAATGATTTAACCTGCCTTAGGATTACCAAAAACGACTTTTTCTAAGAAGGGTGTTCCATTCAACCTGGATGCTGAAGGCCTGTTACTGATGTTTCATGATACAAGCTTTTGAAGTAGTTGCAATTCTATTCACTCATGATTCCCAGCAAGCACTTCTGAACAAAGTGCAAAGTAAATCTATGTAACTGATGGCTAAATGTAACCTCCATACCAAGTGACTTTATAACAAATCTTTTATTGGTAGTAAAATGTTAAGTCAGCTAAACCTGGTTCTAATTAGATGTGACCTCCTTTTTATTTCACAAAGAAAGAGATGCCTCTGAGGATATGCAGGTCCCTTTTTTCACAACTCAAATATTAGGGATGTGCAAGTGTTCTATGCACAAATTGCTCCATGGAATATTTAGCATTGGGATGTCCATGCCTGAACTACAACGGGCCTGTTTCTAGAATTTTGATCCACGCATGGGATGAAATGGGGCTGTTTTGTTCTGCCTAGAGTAGTGGTTGGAGAGTAGAGAAAAGTGAAGGATATTGGTGGGTGGTGGGGGAGGGGGGGGGGGGGGGGAAGGAAGGAAGGGATACCTGGGAAAATGAAGATGGGTAGGCCAGTATGATACATTACTTTGGGACACTGGTGGTGGTGACTGAGGGACAGAAGAAAGGTGGGGGGAAGATGGGAGTGGATGGATATGCTGCACTGAGAATTGTGGAAGAGAAAACACACAGCAGCATTGCCCTTCTCACCTTAGCTGGCTTTTGTTTTGTCTGAAACCTGAAACAACTGAAATGCTCTGGGTTTTGGTTTAGCTAACCTGTGACTGACCTGAAATGGTTCTGCAGAACTTCTGGAATTTGATGGTTTCTTGTAGGGATTCAAAACAAAACATTCCCATTTCATGCCCACACCTAGCTGTAATTGAAATTGCTCCAGGGGAGAGTGTTTCCATCTTTGAGAATAGTGCATCTAAATAGCGTCACTGGAAGTCTTCATTGCAAGAGTGAGACTTCACAAGGCTGTCATGGCAGACAGTTGCCCTGTATCATGAATGAGGAGAAATCTATTATAAGTTCAGTATCTATTTCTTTATCAGTTCATTACTCAATTTTCCTCTGAAGCACATTGTGTGTATTATAAGTAATTGCAGTAATTGCTTTTAGATGCGTCAATTACAGCCTTCCATCTACATGAGAATCAACCCCCTGTTTTGTCTAATCCCTAACACTCAGACATTAGCCAGAGAATGTTGCCCTAGGCTGAGTACCACATATTTGCTCTTATCCTGACAGATTTTCTAAAGATTTTAATTTTAATTTAACAGATTCTGCCTTATCCCTTTTCAGGGGAAAAGTCATAGACCACCCAACCCCCATCAAGACAAAAAGTGGTAGTCATACCTATACGAGGGAGAGAGGGAACAGCTGGGTTATGCTTGTAAATATGAAAAAAGTTATTTCAGATTTAGATGAGTTAGATATTAAGATTTTTTTTTTTTCCTGAGAAGCTTCCCCCCGGTTGAAACATAAGAATGAAGTATTATTAATGTAATCGGAAAAATGGAAGCTTTTTATATTGTAATGCAATTAATTATCCAAGGAAAACAGGACAAGTAGCAGCTTTAATATATGATAGCAAGAAGACTGAATAATAGAATAACTGGATCTATTAATCAGCAGACCTCTGGATGCCTCTCATCTGTATTTGAGGAGTCTTTACAGCCATGGTGCCCAAATTCAGAAAATGGGCCTCCTGCAGTGATCAGTCTCTGACCGAGGAGGCCAAATTATCAATACTGATTTCCGGATTGCTGCATTGGGGAGGGGAAGGAACGGGTGTGAGCAAGCACTGCGGGGCTGGCCAGACTGATGGCTCCTGACTGCTTGTATTTGCATATGCAGCCGTCTGATACCCTACCCGGAGTAACAAAGCCCTCTTCCACCAGGTTGAAATGGCTCCTGCTGCTGCGCTTAATATTTTGAAGCCAAAACAGAGCAATATTTAATGAAAGGGCATCCGTGGGCATTCCTATTAATTCTGAACACATGAGCTAAAAGCATCTAGGAGGACAACATCGGTGACAAGGCTTTTGTTTCCTGGAAGCAAGAGCAGGGGAAAATGATGTTTTCCTCCAGTTCTGCCCCGATGAGTTATGGGTGGGCCAACTTAGTAAGTTAGTATTCTGACAAAACATCTCTTTCCATATATTTTGTTTCTGCAAAAGGAGAAAGGAATGTGATTAAAAAAAAAAAGTCTCTGCAAAGTGTGTGATGTTATGGTAGCCAATCCATGTCTCTTCTGTGCTTCCTGAGATCCACCACACCCTTTACTGCAGTATCACTTTTCTCCACGGGTTTTATTGCAGACTCAGACAAGAATAAAATAAAGGCTAAGGAGAAAGGGTTGGAAGGAGGTGAGAGGAGACAGTTCCAGCCATTGCACTCTGCAAAACGCTGCTAAATTAGAGGATTTGAGGAAGGATAATCTTTCTTGATATCCCTTGCTAAAGCATGGTGGATTACTCCGACACTCCCAGCCCTGCAGTCCTGATTCCTGGAGAGCGCTCCAGCGCACTGCAACCTTTTCCTTCTTAGATGCAAAGGGCGGGAGCGTGCAGTACAGGGGTGTGGCCGAGGTTTATTGACTCTGCATGGAAAAAAATAAAGGCGGGGGGGGGGAGCTTTTGCTCCAGTCAGACAAAATAAGAACAAACTCGCTGGAGGCATTGTAATGGGTAGGCAATTATAGAGAAGGGGAAGAGGAAGAGGAAGCTAATCCAGTGACCTACTTCACGGGCTGCATATTTCATGGGCGGAGAAAAGATCAAGAGGGATCCCCAGAAACAAATGGTTGTAGCAGACCAGCAAGATAATTCGAAAAATAAGCAATCGCGCTATAGGAAGAATCTGGGGGAAGGGGCAGCCTTTGCTTTGATGTCCTCCGCTCCTTTCGTGCGTCTTTCTCGCTAGCCGGGGGGAGGGGGAGAAGGGAGGGGCGATTTCCCCCAGGGCTCCGGCGAGGCGGGGGCGCGCCGGCGGCGGCGGCGGCGGCGGCGAGATGGGTGGGGTCGGTCTGCATTGTGCTCGGCTGCCGGAGCGGGTGGCGTCGGACTCTGCAGGTGCGCTATCGCCGGGAACGCCCGGAGCACTGGCTCAGCGCGAGCCTTACACAAAGCCACCGCCAGCCACCGCCACCCCAGCCCGAAATGCCCTCGCTGCCGAAGAGCAAGCAAAAAAGCAAGTGACACAGAAACGCACACACCACTTCCACCTTTCGCACAAAGGCACTCGAAAGCAGCGCGGTCTCATTCGGATCCCGGCCCCCTCTTGCAACAGCCCTCGCCAAAGGAAATGTTGTCTGTCCCCATCGCATCCACGTGGCGGGCGTCTTGGCTAGTGAAGGCGACTGGCCAGGTTCCCCGCACACATTGTACAAAGGTCGCTCGCCTCGGTCCTGCGAAAGGGTCGCAGAGACTCGACCGATCGGCAGAATCGGATGTCTGGGGGCGAGCGAGGGGGAGGCTGGAAACAAGTCAGCCCAAAACACACAATAACTTATTGCTTTGCTCTACGTTACCCCCCGGAGCAGCATTTTCTTAAGCCCCTAAAGAGACACCTGATTTATCCGACGTTAGGTCGAAGAAACACGACTAAGATTTAAGTCGGATTGCAACGAAGTACTTCGGCTGAAAAGCTTTGTGGATCAGGCTATTAAAAAGGCTGAAATAAAAAATCTTGAAGTAAAGCATAGACTTAAGACCTCGGCTGCTTAGCCCTCTCCCGATATGGCTTTTAGAAAAACCAAGACTAATAATAATAATAATAATAATAATAATAATAATAATAATAATAATAATTTTCCCTTTTATAAATACAATTCAGCACCAAGGACAGCAGAAAGGGGATGGTTTGGAAAGAGAGGCTGTTATGCCGAAGAGAACGCTCTGTATTTCTTACCCATCGCAGTTTTAGCCATTGTAGGCGCTACAGATGCTCCGAGCTTGCGAAGGCAACGAGGTCCAGCTACAGCAGTGGAGAGAGCGCGCGCGCGAGGAGACTAAGGCACTGAGTCAGCAGAGCGGGGCTGTGCAAAAGAAGGAGCAAGAGGCAGGAGCCCATGAATAATTATCACTCCTCAGCCTAAGCAGATTGGCTCGAGAGGTCCCCTGACATGACTCCTGCAGAAGCAGATTCTCTGAGCATTAAATATTGATCTGCCTGTAGTGCTGGAGTACAAAGTGCCAGAATGCAGTTTGAAATGGAAATGGGCCTTGGAGTGGTGTGTTCCCCCTTTACTTTTGCTTTGATAGTACATTCCATGTCAAGCGCTTAATGTCCTACAAGAAAAACCTATTGGTCTTGAAATCTCTGGCTGTTGCTATATGTAAAACATGCACAGATGCATTGGAAGACAGTTTTGGGGCACTAACAGAACAAGGAGGGGAAGTGGAGAGATTTGAAGGCTGTTTGTTTTCTGTTTATCCACTTTGCATAATGCTGATGCTTGCACCTATATACTGACCTTATATACTTGTGGCTGAAATGTTATATATGCTTATCTATGGGTAGGGCCTACTGAACCCAGTATTGTAATCTGGAATTTAATTAGGATTGGATATATATTGGATCACATTATTTCTGAACACATTAACACATTCAGTGCTTTTGTCTTCTCTTTCTTTTTATACCTGGATATGTCATAGAAATAGTTTAAAAAAAAGTGTGTGGGGGATTACTACTGTTTTATTGCCTTTCAGTAATTTAGAACTATAACAAAGTACAGGATAATTGCTTGGTTTAACTTTCACATATTGTCTATCTGTGATAGTGACAAGTAGGGGATTCTTTTCACTGGAGTACAGGGAACTAGTAACTAGGCCTGATGGGTATGAATTTGAAATATTCCTTCTTGCCCTCTCCTTTCACTATTCAACCAGTGAGGGGTTCCTGCAGCTGACAAGATGTTCCCTGAAGTTTAGAGAGGTCCAAGATGGTGCTGTTATTGAAGTCCATATTTTTTAAAAAGGTCTTTTGCTTTGCGACACAAACATCTCTAATGTATTATCTGATTTAACATGTTCTTCTAACATGCTCTTCTTCAGCTCATTAATGGGAAAAATACTTTGTCACAACTGTCTATAATGAAATCCAAGATCAGAATGGGAAATCTTTCTTTTTTTGTCAAGAATCTCCATTGGGGTTGTATGCTGTGAGTTGATGGAGCTGAAGCCAAATAGGGCTGAAGTCATTTCTTTTCTGCCTTGCTTTCCAGTATGTCCTTTTATCCACTCTCTTTTTGATACTGCCTCATTCCTTCTAGGCCCTGTTGAGATAAGATTTCTTCAAGGTAGAGACACCATTCCTGACCATTGAAAAGAAATGTTGGATCCATATGCTCCTCCAAATGCAAGCTGAATAGAGATAAGCTATCATTTCCACACAAAATATGTTAGCTATGCATCCTCTTTCCTATTAAACATCAACTCCATCTTGAGTGGATTATTTTTTTAAATCAATTTTATCAAACATAAGACCTGGATTAAATGACTGTATTACTGACTACTCAAGATGTTTAGGAGATAGGGGATCCCTGTTGGGATTTTGAAAAATGGGATTGAATGATTCTTGGTATTGTCTGAAGAAGCTTAGCATGATTTGGCCATAACTGGGAATTAGACATCCATAACTACTTCACAACAGTTGCCATTCATTGATCAGTAAATCCACTTATGGATAAATCTGCATGATCTAAACTGCTCCCTTGCTTCTTCACTTGAACACACACACACAGGGTTGAAAAATGAAAATATTTGAAAGTGCTTAGATCAGGCTTCCCAGTTTGGTAACATTCATATCACTAGGAGTACAACTCATGAAGCACCAATTATTAGAATTATAATCCCAAAACATCTGAAAGGCACTCAGTTGGGTTAGGCTGACTTTGATTGTTAAGGCCCAACATTACAGGGTGATGCAGCAAGTGCCCATCACTTCAATAGGAGCTTACATCTTTGCACCCCTCTATGTCATGCACGGAGCCCTCTTTGAATCAGCAGGTGGTAACCCCAGTGATGTTTGTTGCAGAATATTGATGTGGAAACAGGCTTCTGGTGATAAAGCCTGTTATAGTTACTGTGATAGGTGCTTTTTACTGAAAATAACGTATTCTGGTAAAAAGAGGTCAATAAGGAGGAAAGAGAGGGGTTCCTATTTGGTTTATGGTGAATAATATACAAGCTCAATAACGACTCAGGGATTCTGGGCATTGTAGTTCAAAACATCTGAAAGTTTTATCTGTCTAATTTAAGAAATGGAATCAAAACTAGCTTTGAAGAATCAAATTGTTACTACAGTGTGATGAGCATATTCTTAATCTTTATGAAAGAAATCTGGATTCATATCTCCATACATTTTGTTGCAATTTTCAAGTGTACTATAAAAAATGTTACTAAAGTAGTAACAACAACAATGAGAAAAAAAGAGGTTGTTGAGCTGGAGAAGTCAGGAGAAAAGTCAAGTAGAATGTTCTAAAATGAGCAGCAGTGTTATTTCACTTGGAATGATACTATCTTTTACTTGTGATGTTGGGAAAGTGGATCACTGAATTTTCTTTGGGTCTTTGTCAAAATCCTGCCACTAAAATATAAGATATTTGGTGGACCTGTGAAAAGGCTAAAAAATTTTGGGATCAGATATGAATTGTTGTTCAAATGATTTTTAAAGTGAGCATTAAACAAACAAAAAAACAAAAAAACAACCCAGACTGTTCTTATTGGGTTTGATGGAGAAAGGATTGGAGAAACAACATAGAACTCTGCTTTTGTATATGATCACAGCTGCAAGACTGTTATATGTGCAAAGGTGGAAGGATCCACAAATACCTACAGTGGAGGAATGGACCATTAAATTTGGCTCAAATGGTGAAGTTAACAGCATTAATAAGAGATGATACTGTTTCTAAATTTGTCTCCTTATGGCAACACTTCTTAGTGTGTGGGGGGGGAAAATGAGGCTTTGATTGTGGACTTTAATGATTAGATGCCTTGTGTTGATAGAAATAATGTGAACTTGGATTAATTAGTGGTAAGAGATTAATTTCTTTAAAATTTGTATCTATATCTGTATTGGAGATAGTTGGAAGTCACTTTCTGTTTCAATTT